TGTGCTTATGTGAAGGAAACCTAGTGTTAAATATTGACAGAATCAAAGCAATTTCAAACAGATATTACATACAAATAATAGCCGTGTATTATGTTGTCAAGTAATGTGCATGTTATATGAGCTGCATCTGTACACGCGTGCACGTGACGCCGCGCCAGCGACACCTATATCATTGAGTTGTCAATATCGAACATTTATTAGGTTCTGTACAATCACCGTAGTTGTATGAGATATTCATCTATTATGTGTTTTTGTATGAAAGTGAAAAAAATCCGATAGCTCTGTTGCACAATATAAATCAATTACTGTAGCGAACATCGCATAAGGAACACAATTAAAATGTATCCTTGACTTTGTAAAATAGAACTGGATTACAAACATGTTACCAAAACAGTCGCACTCTAAACAGAGTCCCTACCGAATATAACCCTTATATCAAACACCATAACGTTTGAGTTTCCAAATCATCGCCAGTTTCCCAAAGAGGTAAAGATATTCGGAGGATCGGCAAATAAAAGTTATTTTTTACAGCACCTAATACGGCCGGCTAAATGCCTTTTAAAGTGTTTAGTTCGCCCACGGACCGGCCCGAGTTGATTTAGTCGCACCGTGAGACCATGACACTGCTGAGGGTCAAATAGAAGACGTTACTATGCCATCGGAAAATAATCATTAATGAACAATGCGTGTTTAAAATTTCATTCTTAAAATTTAACCCTTTCTACGTTTCATACTATGTCTAGCCATATTTGTTTCTGACCTATTTTGTTATTTAAGTTCCAATAAAAATCAATCTGTATTATAGCCTAACTTAAATCGTAAGAAGTCATACATAGCAGGCTAGTAGTTTCAGTGTAAGGATCTGTGTTCGCACCATCTGTTTTCCTAGAAGCGTGCAGAGTGGTATGTTTTGGCGGACGCAACTCGACGCCAGCGCCTCGCGTCGCCGCCGCCTGTTTCTCAAAACATGAGCCAACATCCGACTTAACTTAAGTAGGTATTTACAAATTAGGTGCATTATTTAATGCTGATCTCGGATGAATTCAACCAAATGATTTGAAATGATATTGAAAGTGATCAGAGTTTCTTCCAAAAATTAGACGTAGTGTGGGAGAGAGAGCCATACTGCGGAGTGTTACCACGGCGTCACGGAAAACCGACGTGAAGCAACGCATGCGCTGTGTTTCGTCGTGTGTGTGAGGTTATCGGAGGCCCAATTACACCCCCCCCCCCCCCCCGTTCCCCAATCCCTGAATCCCCAACAATCCTAAAACTCCTAATCGCCAAAACACCAAAAGGCCGGTAACGCACTTGTAACGCCTCTGGTGTTTCGAGTGTCCATGGGCGACGCCGAATGGTTACCATCAGTTGATCCATCTGCTCGTTTACTGGCTTATACCATAAAAAAGTGGCATTGTGACTTTGCGGTGGATGCAATATTAAATGTACGTGTAAAAGAAGGGATCATTATTAATGTGAACTACAAACTGTTGATATGTGTAAGTGGAATGTGTACCTATGCGATATTGGATTATGTAAACGACCCCACACACAGGAGTAAACTGTCTAGCTGAAGTAGGACAATATTGAAAAAATAACACTGTCTTCTAAGACTAGACAAAATACGACTGTGTAGTGATAGTGAGTGTAACTGACCACGACACTTGGAGTGCTATAGAGGCATAGAACATAGAGATCGTTGCATAAGACACGACCCGTTCTACTTAGCGCTGCGCCCATCCTATAAATACCATCGCCCGTCCCACTATTAACCTACAAGTTAAGCAGACCTCTTCAAGTGCATATTAAAAACAAAGATTTGGTAAGGTGACACAATAGATAGATGTAGAACTCATCCCCAACAATTGAAAAATGTATGTAGCTATGAAGTACCGAACGTAGCTCCATGCAAGACATAGATAGACAATATTAATAGTCCGCAATGCATATATACATCGGTTTTTTATTCGGTAAACATACATGCGCAATTTACTTGGGTTGTGGAGTAGTACATTCCCCAGTACAAGCGCACTCGTTACTTGGCTAGCCTTCACGGCATGTCGCGCCGGAGCCGGTCCGGGAGGACTGGCCGGTGCGCCTGCGCAGTACACGCTCCGAGGGTTCGTATTGTGTCGGTCTAAGTAGGCCAGGGAGGAACCATTGTTATATGAACAGTAGAAGGCACTGGAAGAAGTTTCCTTGTTTTGTGAGAATTACGTGAACAGTATTATAGGTAGGTGCAGTGTGCATTGTTTATAAAGAAAACTGGCTTGTTCTAAGACGTTAGGTGTCGACAATACATTTCTTGCCACAAATAACTAACTTATTTTTACTATTGATGCCGACTATACTAAATACAATAATATTTGTTTTTAGTGGGTAAATCGTACAATTGCTTCTCCCGCCTTAGGTGAGGCGAGAGGGAGCGTCAGACTTATACCGACTAAAGACCCCTCGTTCCTACTCCTGCTCTGTGAGCCGGTAACAAGGCAACCCTATTTGCAACAAACGTTTTTACAGGCATATTACACGTTTTCGAAATACAACCAATTGGATCACACAAGACGATGATACATCAATAAAATCAATAAGATAAACGATCACATAATCATAATTTATGATTCATAATTTATTAAATCATCAGCAGTCAGACCGACCACTGTTACCGCTGTACTAACTCATTATTTACATTAATTACTTACTTGACAGTCTCCACAGTTGGTTTAATTATATTCACTAAATTATTATTTTAAGTAAACACATACATAGCCAGTTTTAAGTACATCACACTACTTGTTATTTAACACTTGACAGTAATCTGTTATCACTCAAATCATGGCCAGCGCACTTCAGCAAAATATTACAATTTCAATATTACATAAATGACAGTTAATATAATATAATTACAGACTGACGTACAACATATAGCCAACCGTTTTACATAATTTTCTTTGACTGAGTGTCGAATGTTTGTTCAATGCGCTCGCGCACTCACACCGACATTACTCACGCACACATCGGCAGCTGCTTTATAAATGTTGGCGTAAGTATATTAGTCATAAGGACAGGTTTCAGGCTTTAGTGTCAAGGATTAGGTGGCTGAGTGACGTCACTATATTGTAGCCTTTTCTCCCTACGAAGGTTTACAGGGAGTAACAGAATGCATCGAAAAATATTTATATTCGTTTTCATTGCAAACATGTTTTGCTGTATGCATTACATTGTACATGTCAGAAGATGAAATTAAGACGCAATTTCAAGAAAACCAACTGCAACACCGACTACTGTCTATCTTAAGAATTTGGGATGGTAAGGCTGAATTGTACCAAGGTACAACTTCAACAAAGGCTACATTTTGTCAACTTCTTATGATATTATTATATGGAATTATGGATGAATTGCTAACAGGGTGCGACCGGGAATAAAAAAAATCAGCGGAAAATATAACTCTATACAATGTATAAATAGATCATAATGTTGTCAATACGAACAATATTTATTAAACTTGATTACCTCAAAGGATAATAAAAAACAGGATACTAGATACAATCTTGATGATTCAAATATTTCAATAAACAGCATACTAATAGTAATTATTTGTTTCTAAATGTAAATGTTGAGAACACAAATTTACATTAAAAATTTATTATTTCTGACGATTTTATAAATCAGTATTTTTTTCTAAGAATTGGAGATGAGACATTATTGGCTGGAATAACAAACAATATCAAAAACTACGAGGAAAACAAATGTTTTGTCACAATTCCTCATTGTTATTTATTTACCTGTCATTATGACGTTAAATAACTAAATATAGAAACACTAATTGGTTGCTAAAATGATAATGACACTTTAAGTGTAAATGTAGTACCTAGTACCTATGCTTGGACCTCATAACGATTGCCATACCTAATTAATAAGATATACAAAATACCAAACATATTGTAAACAAGCCGGGGATTGTAACACTTGTCACTAATGGTGGTAAGCCTCATCCGATCAACTCAAATATAGGTACTTATAGAGGAAACGACGAAGGAGATATCTAGTAACAGTAGGTAGCAAATGAAGCTGAATGTTTATTGCTTCGGAAGACATTGGCTGACATTGAGGAGGAGATGAAGTCATGCCATATTTCTGTCGCCGGCGCAGGATAAAGAGGCTCTGTACATACATCATGATCAACTGGCGATTACTGAGAAAATGTCCGTACTGTTATATGATACAAGATCATTTGATGACGCACGCGTCGATGATTGGCGATAGTGACATGATGACAGCAATATCGTTAATCAATATTGCTGTAGATACAAATACAAATATTACGCCTTCCTTGAAGTAATATCGGAAGAAAGTCAGGGGAAAAATATTAGAATTAGACGAAGCATTGAGAGACGATCATGGTAAAAAAAACTAATGATCGGTGGATGAAAACTTTCTAATTAGGTATGTTCACTAGAATTTTAAAAATCTCCAAGTACTCCAATGTCAGAAGAGACGAATTGAAGTGTAATAACAAATACAATGTTTGTGTAGCAGATGACAAGACGAACGCTAAGCCCACCGGCGAGCCCACACTCACTGACTCTAAAACAGTTTTTTTCTTGATTTAACTTCGGGTCCTCATAATAGACAAAGATGTTTTAGTGCCACTTCAAATTTTTTGCCGATAAATTGATTACTCGCGAGTTTCAAGCCTACGCAGGTATAGATATTATGTGATTATGTCAGTGAATGCCTTTAATCCTAAGAAATCGTTGGTTTTTTTAACAAATCAAAGCATTGCTCTTAAATTGCCCAGATAGCGCAGTAAATATTTTATAAGAAAAATGTCAGTTTCAAAAAATTACCCAATTGTTATCGTATATTTTTCATTATCTGTTACTTGCAACAAAGTGGGGGTTTTAGGGTTTAAAAATTATCTAGTACCTTGATGATTTTTCACTTATATTCCTTTCCACAATTTTCCTATACCCAAGCGTATGATTTGTATCACTCACCAATGTGAATCGAATACAGAGGCAGCGTGTCCTGCAAAGTGATCCTGGAGACTAAAGCTGGGCGGTGTAAGGTAAGGCACAGACGAGCGACACTTGGCCGGGCGGGCGGGCGAGTGCGCGTCGCCACTAATCGGCGCGGGGGCGCTAGATGAAACAATCGCTCGATCCGTGCACCACGCACCCACGCTAAGTCCGTGGACAAATGATGCTGATCCTTTTGCTAAATATTTCTATTTGGCAAAAATCAGCATTTTTTGCTGTCAGATAAAATCAAAGCTCGTGTAATAATATTCTATTCAAGGCAGGAAGGACAAGATAAGTTTAGTGGTGACATTAAAAGTTAGACCATATTTAAGTAATGCTTCCAAAACGACCTCGCCTACGAAGATTTAGAACTTCAAAATCAACTAGTTATGATGACAAAAACTCTTGTTTATGAACATGCATGATGCAATGTGTAGGATGACGATGTTGGTAATTTTATGTACCTAAATAATAATATAGTAAAGAATAAAACATGTTTTCATATTATTTGAAGTCACGTAGACATAGCATAGCTGTTCAACAATAACACCACAAGACATTACGAATATTGTAATTCCAGGATGGTGACGGAGTGACTGCGTTCTCTAAACTAAAGAATTGTCATCAACCGTGTGAATAACCGTATGAACATTCCAAAAGGCTTAGACACAATCACCACTTTATATTTCACTGTAATCAGTCACACAAGTAAGAAGGAAAAAGACTCCGAAGACGGTGAAATTGAACATTTGAATAAAAACACTGTTATCAATGTGGAACAAACAAGAACTGTTAACTTAATGAGGACATTGACTGCAAATAAAGTAACGCTGAAAATAATTAATTAATTCGTAAATTGGAAACTTTATTTACATTTGATAGTCTGTTTACAACTTAACATAAGTAAAGTACGTACGTACCTACCTTTACTTACGTACCACCAAATTACGAACACAAATTTTCCTTAAATTCTATGTTATGTAGTTTTTTATCTCTATTGTTAAACGCCTAACCTGATTATCTAGGGGCACACCTGATCCCGACTCGTGCGCCAGTGACGTCACCAGTTCGATACTAATCATCGCACAGCCACCGCTTAGACGATCCTGCGCACCTTGCACAGGGTCTACACAGAACTTTGGAAGTATTGGAATAAATTTGAAACTTTGCAGGTGCGAGTTAAGAGACCCCAAAATGTATTAAAACGGAACACAGAAAAGTCTCAGTAGAGTGAGAAGAAAAGGTAAATACATGAGTATTGGGTCCCAATGAAATGGGACGACAACTACGAGGAGCTCGTAGTTCGTCGAGTCACTTATGTGATAAGTGACAGTAAATATAATAGCCATAAGTCAATGCTCTATGTCTATGACGTAGTGTTGAGGAACACCTGACCAATTGAGTAGAAGAAGGGAAATAATTGTAGGTAGGTATATTGAATCTGCCAATGTTTTTTGCGTGTAATTCAATTTGACCCGGGCGGAACCTTGTTTGATAATATTATTATAACGATAAATGCGTTACTAAAAGTGCCACAATCGGCACAACAATGGACGTTTATACAGCAGCGGTAAAATAAACAGTATCCTATAGACAAGGAAGGTAACACAAGAAAAATGTCAGTTTATTGAACGGATTGCGGTAAATAGGAAGAAATTGAGCTTGACGTGATCTCTTTATAAATAAGGCTGCTGTAGGTAACTTCGGGATTTTTTCTCATTTTCTTATCTAGTGTGGAAATAAAGACTTACTATTCAACTAGATTCAACTAAGCCCTTACAAATAAAAGCGCCATCGCATGGGTACATATCCGAAAATTTTTGCGATCTGTCACCAATTATAAATATTACAAAAGTGGCTCTTTTTTGTATGTAAGCCCTGTAAGACCTTGTAAGAGTGTAAGTGTCGGTAATCGCATTGCATCAGTGATTCAGTTGCTCGGTGCACCGGTGGACAGTGGGCGGGTAATGGCGGCCCATGTCACGCTAGACATATTGTGATTGATTGTCTCGCTACTGCCGATGGGATATGATAATCCTTTTCAAGCAATTATCACGTCAGTCTGGGGATAGTAAGTGACTGCTTAACACAGGTTTCTGCGTTTGATTCCTTGGTATAGTAACCATCCATCTTAGTCCAAGATTTGGGGATGTAGGTACAACCAGTATGCCCTTACATTTCTGAGTGATAAGTAAGGAAATGCCTTGAAACTCATAAAGAGTGGAGAACATTACTCGAAGATGTATAAAACCTACTCTGCATATACATGATAAAACTTCCTATTCATCAAAGTAAGTGGATATAAATAAATTGATCGTGTTCTCAAGACTTAATGACGGCAGACTTATAATGCACAGCATGCACGTGTGCTCGCATGTCCTGCGTGTACTGTCTAATGGGTATCGTGTCCACACCGTCCACCTGTCTACACTACAAGCCACGGGAACCACTGGGGCTGAGCTGCAAGTACTGAATTTAGTTGTGGAGATATGCACGTTTTCCGATTCTTGTTGAAACTACGTCTTAAGTTTTTCTTTCAGATTCTAAAACAACAATATTATTGCTTTGATAGTCACAAGCATACAAGGTCCTAGGTCTGACCCTTGGGGCAGCCTATCATTGCTTCGTTTAATGTTTTAAATAAAGTTCATTTTTCTCGTTGAAACCTTACACAATTACTCATACAAACAAATATTATTATTATATTGCTACACGTCGCTTTGCCTCATTTATTTATCGCTGAGCCACGATTAAGCTCATCAGCACACTAATGGGGCTATAACAGCATGGGACTGCGCCTGCGCACTCAGGCGGGGAGCGAGCTTCATGGCTACTTACCATGGCTGCCTCAACGATGGGGAATTCATTGTATACTAATTATGTTGTTAGAAAGTTTATACTTTAGTTAACGTCGACAAATTGATTCGTACGACCCGCGTCCTACCATGGGGGATTTGTCGAACGATGGGGTCTGCGCATTAACGAGGATGTTACGCTTATTAGTAACGTAATAAGATCCAGATCATCCACTACAATAGTATACACCCTGTGTATTGCATTTATGAATCGAATATAAATCAATACGAGTTTAGTATTTTAGGTCACCTGTCTAATAGCATGAGTACACACAGGCGTGGCTATCAGTGGGCAGTATTTGCTCATCCACTCTATAAATAGGCAATAACTAGGCAATGTCACGTCCATTACTGCGTATCAACGAGCTATCACGACCCGTGCCTAGAGCTATCAGCAGAGACCTAACTATTACACGTAGTCTAGTACCACATGACACACTGGCGGATACACTGAGAGCTAATTAAGTGTAATGTTCAATTAAACACAATTTGTGACTGTTTGCAGACTATTTAGTATCCTATGTTTAGTCACAAATGTGTTCTGTCAGTATTTAGCAGTTTATAGAAATAATTGACACCCTGTCTGGACATTGACCATTAGTGTCACATATACTTAATTATTGTTACAATTATCAGAGGTATACATAGATCCTGTATTCCCAAGCTCGTCAATTGTATGCATAGAGCGCAGAGAAGCTTAAGTTAAGTTCTAATTAAAAATACCCAACATTGCTTGATTTAATTTTAAGAAAAGATAACCAACACTTAAGGTTCTGTTCATCTAAAAGGCATCATATCAGTACACTATGACCTACCTGCTACATACTGTCCCTTCAAGAATGACGTTACGTAATATACAACATCTTTTCTCTAAGTTATCCACTTTCAACTAAGAAGTTTCACATCGTGACAACTCCAAAACGGCCAAGTGACCTCTTACACCAAATATGTGTGATGTGGCCAACAATACAAGCTAATTGTCTGATAGACACGTGCGCTGATACCGGCCTGCGATACTCTTGCTACACACCACAAGGTACAGATAAACACCGTTTGTCGACTGCAAAGGTTACATACGACTGTTGACTATTGTGCAAAATTAGATATGTGCCGCGTCGGTACTGTTCATAGAAGGCTTTCGCCAGAGATAAGGCACTTAAGACCCAGTCTATTATATTGTCTAAATGAAGAAAGATGATAAACCAGTGCAACCATACGTTCTAAATTGTCTGAAGACGGACTGGTATGTGAATTAACTTCCATAGAAAATAGAACTTTATTTTTTCCTCAAAATAACCGATATAAATTACCGTATTAAACCCAATCCAACAATATGGTTGAATCAGTGTACGCATTGAATATGTCACGGTCAACGTGTAACCAGTCAGTAAGCACACAGACACACGGACAGACAGACAAATATTGAAACGAAACCTACACTTTTAGGTCGCTTGTAAGTCACGGTGCAGTTCTTGAGAATCACGACATTAAGTTGTGGAAACAGAAGGATGAGGGACGATAAATAGGATGAACTTACTTTCAACTTTTAACGAAGGACCTTCAATATACTCCACACGCAGAAATTTATTAATTAGGAATAGAAAAGACGAGGAACGTGATGAAAACCGTTTAAGTTACATGTTATCCTTCAAATAAGTAAAACGTAGCATAGCTTTATCTTCATGATAGTAGGTCTATTGTTTCCCACGAAATATTTAGTGGTACATATTCGTATAACTGTGCAATACACTTGAGTACATCATACACTAAAATTATGCAAAAAAGCAATTGCGGATTGGAACTACGAGCACTGGAGCAAGGAGACAGTCATTTGAGTAATTGAGTATAGACTTGAATTATTCAGAAATAATTTAGTTTGGCACTCGTTTGAGACTAATTAAGTTGGTTCCATTCGAGTGAGTGTTCTAAGCGTCCTAAGTAAATAACAGAGACGTGGAACAAAAGCCTCGGATTTTGTACAGTGACGTCACGCGCCGTGTGCCCCATACTGCCCATACACGGCGCGCCACACGCGTGATTATTATAATTACTACTTTTATTAATAAGTCGTAACGGGTATTGTTGGCGTAGGCAGACATTGAAGAGGATTGTGTGCCTGCAAATTAATTTGAAGATCTTCAATCAGATAGAATCTCGTTGGTTGAAATGCCATATACAAAATTTCAGATTCGACCTTTCGGTCGGATAACTTATTTATAATTTCTCAAGTTGAATAAGACAGGGTATTCTGTTCGATATCTAGTCAAAGAATCGCATCATTTCAAAATGAGCTAAGGATGTTGTGCTTTAGAACTTTAATTTGGGAAGTAAAAGTAAATGTTTGGAAAAATGTTTTCATGAGAATCAACGATTGGCTTTGCTATACATGTATAGTATTACTTAAATAATTACTATATTGTCATAACGTGTGGTTTGTGGTCACGGCTGAAGGACACTAAACTTATACAATACCTACAAAGAGTAATGGCCAGTCTATATCTATGACTATATTTCTTTACGAAAGGTGAACCCATGAACAAATTTATAGACAAGAACATATTTAGTTTAAGATTTCTGGCATAAAAAATTTAATCCTAAGAGCGACTATCAAGCCCTTAATTATAACTTTGCAATAAATAAACTGGAAATAATCTTATAGTTTATAACAAGCTATACGATTGTGTATTCCAATGTGTAATACTGACAGACTTCCAATACATTTTTCAAATTCACTTTCATT